AACGGGAACGTCACGGTAAAAGGTATACGCGTGATAGCATACAAAGGGGCTAAAACAATTTTACCAATGCACATACAGTTACAGTCGTAACCAATCTTATAGACTAGTTTAGTTAAAATTGAGACATAGGGAACATTGCCCGCGAAGAAAATCACATATTTACCTAATACTACTTTCTAAAAATGTCAATGAATAACAGTTCTCGTCACAGCTTCATTACTGATAAATGCGTTATTAATCTTAGACATTTTGAACCTTCTTACCAATTCCATTGCACAGTGTAATTGTTGTGGAGAACATGCTGAACTTTCGAGGTCTATCATCTGACTTCTAAATGTTACAAATAACTCTGTGTCGAATCCTTTCGCGATTTCATTGATGATATGTGCGATGTCCTGGAATTTTGTTTCGAACTCCTCCATCGGTACCTTTGCCGAAATAAGATGGAACAAATTGTTTCTTTTATCTCTCAGATTCTTTATCAATTTTCTAACAGTGTCATCCTGTTTGATGATATTTAGTAAAAAACATGATAGTAATGTGATATCCATATCGTTTTCAGAGATATTCATCTTTTCCTTGAAACCACAAGTGCAGAGCTGGTCTCTGTCGTTGTTTGGCCTTGTACAGGCTTGTCCTCTGTCATTGTCGAGAAGCAGTGCGAGCTGTTTGTAGCTGATAGCAGAGTGTCGCGCGGTAGGGTAGGAAGTACATGCACAACACCGCTTCAATTCATGAAGATGTATGAGGTCGTGGCGAGACGCTTTCACTAAATCTTGAAATGTTTTGTAACCTTTTGAAAGTTCGCTTTTCACTTTCTCTTTGAGTACTTTGGTACCGTACTCCATCACCAAGATGACTAGTTTTAATAAATTGTAATGTTCTGTTGTCGTACTCATTATGGAATGGAAATAAATATGAAGATATCAACTCAGTCCTGAACATTGACCATCTTTGTTCCCGTCTTGGTACAGCTGGCTAAAAGAGAAATAGGTAAAGCTTTGTGTGTAATGAGAAGGGTGAATATGTTAATGTTGATATTTATTTTATAGCAATAATGAAACAAGCTTTCTAACTTATATCAATCATTCCTGTTGGCCCGGATGGAAGCGCGCAGAGGGTCTTAATGTGGGAGGAAACCGCAGTACCCGATTTGATGTAAAAAATACGTATTTCATGTTGAATGCTCACAAGGACATATAGCATTATCTTATGAAACTGAATGTTCTTAATGTAAATGACAGATTTACATAAGTCATATGCTAAAGTTGTCAGTTCAATATCGTTTTGTTATCTGTTTGATTTCTCTGGTCATAATTCATTTCCAAGGCTATAATTTGTATTGAACTTATAATCGATTGGCAATGATTGTGTCTAAATCACCAAAATATATAAGAAATAAGCTATTGATACATTGCAATTAAATTAAGCAAAGGTCCTCTGAATTTAACCTTATTTTACAGATGTGATATAGCAGAGTCCCCCTGTGTTCAGCCTTAAATATCATACGTGATGCAGTAGAGAGTCCCCTGATTGTAGCCCTTCAACATTAGACATAATGTAAAAGAGTCCCCCTGATATCAGCCTTAAATAGCATGCGTGGTGAAGCAGAGAGTCCCCTGATTTCAGCCTTAAATAGCAGACATAATGTAGCAGAGTCCCTCTGATTTCATCTTTTCAACAGCAGACGTAATGCAGCAGAGAGTCCCCTGATTTCAGCCTTAAATATCATCCGTGATTCAGCAGAGAGTAATCTGATATCAGCCTTCAACAGCAGACATAATGTAGCAGGGTCTCCCTGATTTAAGCATAATCTGACATGCATCGTATATAACAACCTGACATAAACAAAGACTTAATATGCCAGCTTTATATAAACAGAGACAAAATATGTGTGTTTAACAGGAACAGAGACGGCATATAACAAACGGAAACGAATAGAACAGTAGAATGTGCTCTACAGTATAACCAGACATGTGTAGTCTATCACTGTAGCATACGTGTATTCATCAATTCGTGAATAGTAACTGATCCTATTAATTCATACCAACCTTATTGTGTATAGCACTTTTGTCCATTACATCACGTCATGCTACATCCAATGCAGTATCCATCGGCGTCAAAGTTGCCGAGTATATGATTTGTTAACATATTTTGCGTAGTAGCCATTTTGAGTCTGTAATTGATTTCCGGTGTAGGGTATGTGTTGTCGGTCTGACACAGGAAACGTAATTATGTGCGTGCAGTCAACTTGAACACCGAGGAACTTTAAATCTTTAGAAACTAATTTGTACGTGTATACTCAACTAGAGGCACTGGGTTTTATAGCCTGTGATTAATATTGTGCTACGCACTAAACAACCGCATAATGAAAAAGTGACGTCTTTAAAATGTTAAAGGTACTGGTTATCATTGGTTATAAAATTTAACAGAAATGGATCCTCGGTAAATAATGTATATGCTATATCCAATACTCCGTAGAGTAGATATATGTATACTGATATTAAAGAAAACTTTCATCCATTGTGTTACTAGTTGAATAATATTTCCTTATTCAACAGCTAGGCATTGGTTAAGTTGAATGACCATTGGATACATAGTGCTCTATTTAAATATTCCATGGTTACCCATTGGATATGTGAATAAGCGGTTTCTTATCAAACAGTAGGATATTTGTACAATGCCAGCAGTTGAACAGGGCTTGCGCTCCAAACCATGAAATATATGTTAAGAATGAATAGAGAAGGAAACACCTGAATGTAATGCTTAAAAGGGGCTATTTAGTCAAATAACACTCTTAAAATCGATTAGATACTGCAAATATATACCTCCTAATTTTACGTAGTTTTTAAGGACAAAACCTGAAGCCAACGCCCACTGTTAATCCTTCAATTTTGTTTTGAAAGCGCAATTCAGAAAACTATTACAGAAGAAAGTTTTTTATAGCCCTCGTTTTGACCATTTTTGAAGAAATTCTTGAACGGTTTCCGATTGACTTTCACCATCTTACAGAAACAGTAACTATCGAAAACACGACCTTGTCCTAACGAAAATGAACATGTAACCACACAAAATAAAAAAAAAAAAAAAAGAACAGGACTTTACTGTTTTTATTATACGTATAATTAAACAAGGATTATGCACACCAGGGGAATACTTTTAAAAAAGTGCTGCATACTTTCTTTCATATTGAGAAATACATTTAAATCCTTAAAAAATGGAATAATAATATATGACTAGATTTCTGTTTGCAGTATAAATAAAACATTTACATATGTTGAAGCATTCAATTTGCAAGAAAATCAGAGATATTTGCACATCCGATATATTGATTAAATGAAGTTACAAGTTTTTGCCGAAATCTTAGGTTGTCGTCAGTCCTTCACACAAAGAAGAACCCAGTAATTGGGCTCTCGACCAGTCCATCGGCAAGGAAGTGTTCAAGTCGTTCCTGTGGATACTTATATTCATAATCTAAGGAAGGATACGAGGGTGGGTGCAGAGCTGTCAAAGTGTGGGACACAGGAACGTAACAACATAGAACTGATATGTTTAGTGCTGCAAGCAGTAAGATGCTGGTCTTTTTGATATTGGTGCTACTAGAAACTATGACAGTACTATGCTATTGTTTATGTTCAACCATATTCCATATGCTTGTATCGATCTGCTACATAAATATGTAGAGTTAGATTTGATGCTGAGAAACCGTTATAAGTTAAGATCCTCGGAACTTATTCTGTGTTTAGTTGAAGACCTAAACGTAACACATGGCTGTGCAGTCTTCAGTCTGAAGTTGTATTTTCACTTGTATCATATCTAAGGTTTACATTACATCTATCGTGCACTTTGAAAAAAATATCCATTAAATATAGTATTAATATGGGAGTGATCCCCTCCCCCTTCCCACTGTTATATATATTATTTAGCAAAAAAAAAAAAGAATTTCTATAAATACATAAATTGTTGTTTTCACTAGATTCGTGATCGGCAGTAGAGACAAATTAGTATCGGACCAATAAACATTTGATCATACTTAGTTTCTACTCCTCAGCAACATTACCGTATACTTATCATATACATGTATTAAATGTCCTAGCTTGCAATAGCAAGAAATTTAACTTTTTTATGCTAAAATGAAATATGTATCATTAAATTAAATGGTACACGTTTGTTACTGTTGATCCTCTATACAAGAAAAATATATAGTTGCATGAGGTTCCACATTTATTTAACCTTGTCTTAGTTCTGTAGCTAATTACGACATTTATTTCTCATATGTAATTATTGACAGTAAGATTTTCATGCATGTCCATATACTATCAAGGGAAAGGAATCATATAGGCTTTAAGTCTGTTGTAAATCATATTGACACATTATCATTCTATTGTCAATACAATTTGATGAAATTGATATTGGTGTTAACAAATGGGTGTATTTATGTGGCCGTTGCTAAGCTGCAGTTTGAGCTCATAGCTGTTGTATTAAACGTGCAGAAGATTTGAAAATATATACATAAAGGTAATTTTACAGAGAACGTAACATTTGTGCGAAGTGCTTTATCAAATGTTTTGCAAAATGTTAATCTAGGAATTGTAGTTAACAATCTATAGGATGGCCCTACGTCCTTCAGGCAAAAATAGTATCAAGGCAAACATACTCTCATGAGGGGAAGATGTCAAGATGTTATTGGAGCTGAACAGAAACCAGTTCTTTGGCCTAGTAGTTTGCGCCTTTTATATATACTATTACCGGTATTTCGTCGCTTCAAAAAAGTTACCGCACGGCATACTCTGCAATTGTTTTCGAAAACTTGATAAGCTACTGTAGGCTGCAAAAAAATATTAAAATGATATCTCTATGTCTTCACAATAACATTTGGAAAAATCAAGCAATAGTAGTACGTTCATACACACAGAATAAAAAACCCACCATTGCTATGTAAAACACGGGGTTAGGGCTGGAGAATATCATGTACGGAAATATGTGATCTGCAATCGGTATTTATTTACTTCTTGAAAAGGTTGACTTTCGAAATAAGGGATTGATCAAGGCGTCTGAAGAACTATTCTTCTCCTATTAAAAACTATCCCTTTCGAAAAAAACCCAGCTTTATGTTAATCCTATCAGTTGATGAGTGGTGTAAATGTCTATGAATGTGAAGACTGACTTACCGAAGTGCTACTTTCATAGTATAAAGACACTCCGTTATGGATGCAATATGATTTCAACAGTGCTTCCTTCTCCGGTGGAGTTATACAATATACAGTGTGTTTGGTGCTAGAATAAACCGTTGGGGCTTACCTTGCCGTGATAATATCAACACAGTCTTGAGCAATTTGTACCAAAGGTCCGGAGGTAGACTGCTGTCGTTGTCAAACTGTAGTGTGAGCTGTTGAGAGCTGATGAGATAAGACAGACAGTGTCAGTTATAAGGTAGGTAAGAGTATATTCTCAGCACCGCTTTATAAATGTATGAGGTCGTTACGACCCGCCTTCAACAAATTGTGAAATATTTATGGTCTTTTGCAAGTTTTTGCTTTTTATACTTTCTGTTTTCCTTCCCTATTGAGAACGTTGTTTAACAAAGTCCAGTGATCTGCTGTGGCACTAATTCTGAAACTGAAATAAATAAGCAGGAATCATGTTAGTGCTGAACAATAAAGATATAGCTCTCCGTCTCAACACAGTTGGCTAAAATAGAAATAGGGAAGGAGTTGGTGTGTAATGAGAAGGGCGACCATGTATATATTTGAGAAATATGATAAAGAAACTATGTCAGGCTGTAAGTTAGTAATGGCCTCGCTCAAACCCCGACTTTTTGTGTGATTTTGTAGGAGATAGCCTTACATAATTATTATTTTATCATATACACTCATACAATAATTGAAAAAACGATTTCTGAAATTTATCTTTACTTCAGTTAAAAATATAAAAACAGTGACAGATTTCTCCCCTTGCAAATTTGCAAACATTTCTTAACTCATCCGGGGACGGATGATCTCCAAGAATTTAAACCCTTACCCTCCTTTGTTGCTTAAAGTTGAAAACTGAGTACAAACTCGTTGTTTGCCGTTGACGTTACAGCTTGTCTTATGACACTAAACCATATAGATTCTGACGTCATTCCTAATACACATCATGTTCCTGGGCAGAAATACCCGTGCAATTCTTAAAGTATCTTAATGGTATACGCGTATGTGCAGTTTTAGTTAAAGAAGGAATTTCAAAAGTATTGTTTGTTATATATCTACAAGAATACATATAGCAATAACCTATGAAAACTAATTGTTACTTAAGACATACAGTGCATCACCACAAGTCCAAATGACCAAACGTTTTAGTTCAAAGCTTTCTGAACGCCTCCTATATGTTTCTGGTCAGAAAACATACTTAAGCTGAATTGACGATGAAGCATTAATTGTTGTCACGAAAGCACCAAAATGTGAAGGAAATGTATTTTGTAGAAAACAGGTCTAACAAGTTGTTTTGAAGTAATGATTTAAAAATAAATAGGAAGCTAAATGCATTACAATTTAGCAAGTTCTGTAATTATTCAATAGGTACACATGTTACCAGAAGTAGCTATTCGTGTTAGTAATAATTTCGTGGGACTACTGTTTGCGATTCCTCATTTTTTCAACAAGCCATTGTCGTTCGAGTTGTCTCCCATTACCTAAAAAAATCTTCTTTTTTTTTTTTTTTTTTTTTTCC